TATTGTGAGCTAGTGTTTTTTAAAACGAATCAAACGCGAGCGCTCGCGGGTCGTGACGTCCATGGCGGACATTGCTCCAAGCAGTTTGGACCAAGGGCCACGATGGGGATGTCACGTATGTAGGTCGATCGAGGAGAAATACATCGGGTGCAGCATTCTCCACAAACAAGAACGAGAGAGGAGACTTTTCGTAACCAAGTCCAGCCAAGATGCCACACCTTAGCTCTACACAGCGGTCGTCGAGGGGACAGTGACCCACTAGCGATGACGGAGGTTGCGGCTAGGGACGGCAGGGTCTCTCTTCTGCATGGTTGGTCGATATGAAGCCAACTTGTGAAGAATTTTGACATTGGCTAACGTGACACAAAGCGGCAGGTTTAGCCACCCTGATAGCGGCGAGTCGAAACAGCGTCAAACGACCCCCAAACAGATTATAATTTGAGAGGGAGGGGGCATCCTGAGACGACGGCAGCCCGGGGGCAGCGTGTGCTGGCTGGGCGCGTGTTGACGACAGCCACTCCACGATCACACCATCATCAGCCCCTGGTACGCTCAGTGGCATCTCACATGTGCTGGAGGCGACAGGAGCTCGCACAGCTCACACGTACAAAGGTGCGCAGTGTTGATATATCTTTGCTCTGCAGTTGACCGTGGTATGCTACGAACGCAGCCATGTGTCCATCGTAGCCATTCGTGCCAGCAATGAGGCCGTTGGAGCGCAACAGTTCAATCGTGGCAAAGTGGGTTCGCTTCTGAGGCACGACTTGAAAACCTGATTTTGGAGGTCAGGTTCATCGCCATCGACAGTGTTGAACAGGCGCATGCAGGGCACGTCCAAAAGGCCACCGCTTCCACTGGTTCCAACACGAGATCGTCGACCGAGATGACAGCGCACAGTTCGCAGTTCCATGACAACACATGTGCGACGTGGAGCTGCGCCGTGTCACACAACCGAACGCCACGTCGTCGATTCAGTTGGGCAACACACACCGAATTGGTCGCGTCCTGTCAAAGAACACTTGGCACCTGGATCCCCCCCTGCCCCATCGTTCCTCATAATCGAATTTGACATGTTTGCCACCGACTCCGTTCCCACTTCCGACGCCGTCGTCCAAGTGGAAGTGCGCCGTCTTGTGGCCGAGGCGCTCAAGACACTCGAGGTCGAGCCGCTGTTTCCACTGACGTATCTCCAAGGGGAGCTATGCAGCCGCGTGCCTCTCGGCATGACACTGGCGACATTTACAGCGCAAGTGAAGGACGGCATGCTTGCAGCAGACCATCGCTTGCGATTCAACGACGGCTTGGCGTCGTTTTGGTTGCGGTACGTCCCAACGCCAGGTGCTGGCGGCGTCCAAGAGAGCCCAGAGCCCGCGAAACTAGCGGTGGACGTGCCATCCGACCAAGACCCCACCGCGGCGAGTGTGATGGACGTGGAAGTGTCCAAGTTTACGTCGAATGCCATCCGATGGATCACGGCAAACGGCACTCCGTACCACGTAGCCGATATTGTGGGCAAAACCAAGTCGAGTCCACTCCCGGGGGTCACACCCGCGATGTTTGCCGAACGCATCGTGCAGCGCATGAAGCAAGACTCGCGGCTCAAGTACGCCGTCGACGCCAGAGACCGACGGGTGTTTATGTTGAGAAAGAACCCCTCCAATGCTGTCAGCAGTCCGCCCACAACTTGTCCACTGGACAAACTGCACGATCTTGAAGCGCTCTGGGCACGACTGCTTGACGGACCTAGCACTACGAACCGGACGGCGACCCCCACGAACCACAGCCACAGCGCCACCCATCCCGGTGACGCCCTGGTGCGGATGTTTGTGGCAACTTTCAAGTCCAAGATCCTCTATCAGTTGCAACAAAAGAAGTTTCGACACTATTGGGTCGACGTGATCGCGCATCAAACCCGCCGAGTTGTCTGTCCGTACGGCATGACGCACGACCAGCTTGTGAATCGCATTGTGCAAGGGGTGATTGCGCACAAAGAGCTGCAGCTGGAGGTGGACCACCGCGGCAAGCTGCTCATCAGTCTAGTTGGGTGTCCATACGGAGATGGAGCCAAACCGAGATTTGCATCAACTGCGGCAGGCAGTCAGACGTTGTCCATTGGGACCGCCGTCGCAACTCGCTGTCGGGCAGAAGACTTGACGCCGACCTTGTCGGCGAAGTTGGAGCCCAACACACCAGCACTGCCAGGAACACCAACGCCGCAGACAGCCCAGTTGGTGGCAGCCACTCCAACGAGTCCCATTACGGTCAGTCGCATCGACACTGTGTTCACAGCCGAAGAATTGGGACAAGCACTTAAAGGCGACCGAGCCTTTCATGACGGTACGATTGCCATGCACGTTGTCGACGTCAAACTCGATGGCGAGTCAGAGCCGCGGCACCTGGTGGCGCTGGCCACCCCCTCCACCACGTACACCATGGACTGCGACTCCGTTGGCGCCGCGAACGTGCTCGCGTTGCTTGGGCCAGTGTTGGCCAACCCTGCCATCAAGAAAATATCCTTCGACTTGCACCAGAGCATTCCCGTCCTGAACAAATTCGATCTCCACGTCCAAGGCATGTTCGACATGCAGCTGTACATGGAGCTCCAAACCGGGAACTTTGACATGGACATGGACACGTTTATGAAGACTTTGCCAGTCCGTGCGCATTCGCCACAGACTTTAGAGCTGCGTCCCGAGGTGTTTGGCCATCAACCCCATGTCCGCCACGTTTTGGAACGTCTTGCAAACGACGCGGCCCTCCTCTTGCGTGGGTACACGCTGACCATTGACGACAAGGGAGCTGCGTGGGTGTCGGTGCAAGCTGCGTCGGACGCTCGCGTGATTTCGGCCGTTGAATTGTGTGGCCAACGAGAGCTGGTGTACTACAAGGCCAGAAGCCTCCGGCTCGTTTCCCTCGAGCTCTTGGCCACCGTGGACCCGTGTAAGATTCACCAACTATCTGAGCACTGTACGCGCGTTGGCCGATCCCTCCACGGGCTCGCCGACGGCTTGCTCGATATTTTGCTGTCGTCGGATGCAAACGTTCTCGTGTTGGGCGAGCCTCGGTGCGGCAAGACGACCATGTTGCAAGACGTAGCGCGAGTGTTGTCAGAGACACGCACACTTCGCATCGTGTCGACGAAGAACGACTTTGCAGGTGAGCGCTGCGCGTCGGCCATGCATTTCTCATGGCGCACTGTAGGCGATGACGATGCATTGCAACCATTCGTGATGGCGTGCGGGGCCACCGACGCGGTCGACTTGGTCCAAGTGGTGTCAAGTCACACCCCTCAAGTGTTGATCGTGGACGAACTGTGCGAGTCGAGCTATGTCGACGGAGCGCGAGCATGCAAGCAGCACTGGGTGCGGTTGATTGCGTCTGCCCCTGGCAACCTTCGTGACGTGGTCGAATCGAAACAACTGCAAGGCCTGGTTGGCGTCGAGCCAGGGATGGCAGGCGAGCCGCCCTTGCATGGCGGCGAAGGAGCGACGGCGCTCCATCGACGGAGCATGCCAGTGTTCGACGTGATTGTCGAGCTGCAACAAGGCCAGTTGAATGCGTGGGGCGTTGTCCACGACGTTGCCGCGGCCGTGGACGACATTGTCAAGGGCAAACTGTACAAGACGGCCGTGCGGTCCAAGAAGGGCCATGGTCTCACGGCGCGCCGCGCCATGCGTTGATCGCTGCAGCGAAGGGGAACGATGCCTTTGAAATTGGCTCGAGCGATGCATAGTATATGAGAGAGCATAAGTGCAGTCACACTCGTACATCCTGCACATTGGTGAACCCTTGTTATTACACGACATAATTCGCGTTGGTCTTGTATTGTGTCTACCGATAGAGAATCCGAGATGTCGGGGGTATGAAAGATGAGCGTTGGACGTTTAGTCCGTTGCATTTGGAACGTGGGAACGCCGTCACACGCTGGTGACAGCAGCTGTATGCATCTCTGCGAGTGGCGGGAGGCGGCGCATGCAGCGACGATGGAGACGACGGTGTGTCGTTAGAAAAAGCGCAGATGGTTCTTCACAACTCCCTTTTTCGTCCAGTGGTCGTCAATATGCTGGAGGAAGTCGTCTCGAACCAACTTGGCCTTGGCGTCGAGAATGCCTCCGCATTCCTTGCGAACGACCACGCCTTCCACAAACCCGTCGTAAAACTTGGACGGCGTCTCCAGCAGCGCCTGGACTTGCCCCATGGTCGAGCACGAGCCCGAAAACACCGTTGGGACCATGTGAATCGACGTGTCGGCCAGCGCTTCGTCGAGCTTCGACACGCTCCAGAAACACTCGCGCTCTCGATCGTACATGTCAAAGGCCAAAAAGTAGCTCGGGAGCTTCGAGTACGCAATCGAGTGCTGTGCGTAGAGCCACTCGCCATACAAAACGTACCGCCCAGGCGGCGACAGGAGCTCGCATAGCTCAAACTGGTGCACGTTGATCCAAACGTCGAGGCCTTTGAACTGAGGCGCTGTGGCACACGTGGCAAAGTGCGATCGATTCTGGGCGACGACTTGAAAATCCGGCGTGAGGGAGAAGCCAAGGTTCGCCCCGTCGACTGCTCCAGCTGCAAGGAGACCACCGCCGAAGTCCAGTGTGGTCGGTCGGAGGAACTGAGCCGATGGCAAACAAAGTGAACCGCACAAAACGAGTTCTGGCAACGCAGTGGCGGTTCAAAGACTCGGCACTGCCAGCGACGTTGTGTTCAACGCCACCCCTTGTGAAACCCATGACATCAAAATGCGTCAAACACATCGCACTCGGCCGAAAGTTTATCGTCGAATCACGACCATCAGTCGGACTCGCCGAGGGCGGACAAAGGTTTGGTGGCCACGGCGTCATTGCCAGCCGAAGCAGACGAGACCGCTCGGAGTCACGAGTGTGTGGGTTTGGCATTGAAAACCATGGATCAAAGCGTTGCAAAACCCATTCGTCGACCAGACGAACAAGTCGATGGATTCGCCATCGCCCACGGTTCAAGCCGGTGGCAAAAGCTTTGTACGATGCTGGCGGCAAAGGCAAAAGCTGTTCTGAGGCAATACCTTCACGGACACAGCCTCCGAACTTTACGCCGTGACGACGAGGCCCCTCCCATCCATGAACACCGCCCTCGGGCGGCATCCAAAATGGCGTTGTCGCGTCCAACTGGGCTTGGACAGGGGGCTGTTGGTTAACGTAGTCGCGAGGCAACTGCATCCAAGGTCAACCAAGGATCGACGATGCAGCCATGGCACGTGGCAAGCGAGTGGACAAGATCATGGGCGACCGCGCCCCGATATTTCTCTAGATGACGAGCTTCTGCCTACAATGGACTCGACTTTTGCGATATCTTCTCTCGTTGTGTGACGTTGAGCCATCTACTTTGGAACTTCATTTTGACGGACCAGGGCGTCGATACGACGACAAGGACAACAAACCACTACTCTAGCTCTCGTCGGCGACCACACCATCGAGAATGTTGACGACTGAAGTGCCGAGATGGGCTGCCATGTGCCGTATCGACGAGGACGCCAGAGGAGCACACGACACCACGTCGTGGACTGTTTGAATGCTCACAAATCGAAGCATCGTCCCCAGCGACAACATCCTCATGGCAAGCCACGAAGCGATTGTAACATGCGAGCGCTGTCGATGGATGGATTGACCGAAATGGGGTGAATGCGAATCCATTTCATTGATCGCATACGCCCTGCAACACATCGACACGGTGGCACTCTTCTTCCACGACGTCCTTTCTCCTTGTGGACTGTCTGCTGCGCCTCTCTCGTTCATCGGACCCTCTGCACCCATCCCATGCCGCGAAAGCTCTGTCGAGGAGACCGTCCAGTTTCCGTTAGGTGTACAGCTTGGAAACCTGCCGCCAGTGGGTGACGTCAACTGCACCACGAAAAAACCACATCAAAAGATAAGCATCGAGATGTATCATGCAATGATTGATCTCCTGATGTTCAAGACAAGTGGATCCGACCAATTTGGACGACGAAAGGCAGCGAGTCGCTAAGGTACTGCGAAGCAGTCACGACCCCCATGATAGCGAAGCGCGCCCCCTCCCCCCGCGCTTCCACGAGCTACCCTTCGATCCACTCAATTTGACCAAGAATAAAATGGGTGGACGGGAGCGGTCCAGGACGTGGCGACAAAAACTCAATCGTCTTCTCGGTGCTGTTCACCGAGTGGCTAGATCATACCTTCGTCAGGGATAATCCCGCCAGCATGATACGCCATCCAACAACGTACATGCAAAGGAATCCCAGCGCCGTTGCGCGGGCAAGGGCGTGGTCGGCAGTGGTCGGAGCGGCGCACATGGCCACGACCGCGCGAGTCAGGGTCTCCACCACGGCTACGCGCCTTACTTGGGTCGGCTTGTGCGGTGTCACTACCACATTCCAGTGAAATGAGTTACAGTGCGACGATGCTTGGCGTCTTTCATGAGTAGATCTTTCGTTTTACGTGACTTACCGACAACGATAAACAATCGGACATCGGCAATCGCCACGTTTACGAGGAACGGCGACGGTGAAATCGACGACGGCGGCGTAAAGTACTGTCTCAATCGAGCATTCCTTGCGTCTCGACGGTACGATGCAGAGCGGCGCTGCGCCAAGTGGGACCGTGGCAGTCCAAGGACATGCGGTGCTGCCTGTTCATGCAGCAGGTGGTCGTACAACTTGACGTCTCCCACAACAACCACGTGCGATGGCTGGAAGATTGCGATCGTCGCCATAAGTAAGGCCAAGCCTTGGCCTTCCACCCACCCGCACGTGTTGATAACTGCGCCAGACGCCGCCACTACTTGAGGAATGAGTCGAGTCCGCCAGGGGGTGGTGGTAGGTGGGGTAGTTCGTACACATGGGATCGGCTGAGTGCTTGTTTCGAATCCGACTCGCCAGTTCCTTGACATACCATTTGAACAACGAGCTCTTCTCCGCCATGTTGGTGTGGCCGACGTAGAAATGCAAATTCGAGAGCCACCGTAATGGATGGTTGTGGTTGGCGCCAAATTCGGCCAGGTCGGCGTCGTTGTTCCTGTCGACGTCTGCAGATCCCACCAAGAAGTTTGCCCGCGTCACGATGGAGGCCCCGATGGTACCAGGCAATCCGATTTCGCCTTGGCCAATATCTACATCTGCAAACACGATGGGGTGCTGCCGACTCGCGCCACCGTCGTCACTGTCGTATGCCTGCAACTGGGAGTGCCACAATAGGTGGCGACACAACGACGACTTGCCGGCGTCCGTGGGGCCAGCCACAAGCACCGTCGGGCCTCTTGACAATGTCCGCGCTGCATCGGCCCGCAACTCTGCCAACAGAGCGTGGAGGGTCGCTGCCGAGTGGGTCATGGCAGTGTCCAGTCAAGATCGATGCGAATTGCTCCAATTTATTTGATTGGTCGATTCGACGTTGGCGAGGAAACCGACGACGACTGCAGGTGTCATTGTCACGGACGAAATCGATCATCGTGTGCGGCGGCTACGTGAGACTGCCAACACAAAGCCGTCGGGCATTCCCTCGAGTTTCTGGTGACATGGAGAAGGGCTGGTGAGAGGGCTGCATCTAGCCTATCCACCAAATATAGGACCCGCTCGCGATTGCCAAGAGTGGGAAATCATTAAGTAGCTCGCGCGGAAAACGACCGATGCGTAAAATCTAGCTACGACGTGGTCTGCAAGTCGCCAACTCGGCCTCCAAGTTGACTTGCAATGGTTTCGATGTCGTGGCACAATGCTGAACCTCGAATCGCCCTCGCGCCACTCGACTCCATGACAACTTGCGCACGGGATGCATGGAGTTCGACAGCAATGTGATGGCAAGATCCGGTCTACGTACACGAAAATCCAACGAAGTCCGCGTGCTGACACTCGTTGCGACTCAACCGTTGACCATCCGAACCAAGTGCTAGAAATTCATTGCTGTCGCTGCAGTCGGTTGTCACAAGCGGCATGTGGAGGTGCCTCTCGCAGAGGAGGTGGATGCTGTGGACATTGTCTAGACCCGGAGCGAAGTGGGAGCCATTGCATCAAAGCCCTACACGAGAGAACGTCGTCAAAGGTCGAGCGACAGCCCCGCCATACCCTCAGGAAACGACCATCGCCCGAACGTAAGGGTTGTCCGAGCTTGTGTCAGTGACGGCAAAAGTGTAAACGGGTATGATGCGCAATTTGATTTCACGGGCAAAACGTCGCCAACACATTCCAGCAGCTCAGTGGCTTGCTCCCATAGCAGCTACATACATGACGCTTCGTCTGCATCGCACCCCAAGGCGGCTAGCCCTTGTGCTCGCAGCTCGCTGCGTGCCATGAGGTCAGGTCAAGTCCCATAATTCGAGTTGGATGTTAGGCGTGTTTGTCATTGCAGATGCCTCGATATATGCATCACGAATCCCTCGACTGGCATGGGAGTAGGCGGCGTTGAAACCACTTGGGTGCTACGACGTCGCGAGTCCCCTCCGCTTCTTTCGTCGCCGCAGCAACATCGTGGCGATAACTTTCACCGCAGTCCTCGACATGTGGATGTATCACGTGGCAGACACGTCGCAGGGCTTGATGTCGTGTAGACGAAAGGTCAGCGCTCCTGTTCCTTGTGTGTTTCCTGCGTCGCCAACTCGTAGAATTTCCGCCTCCTTGGGCCATTCATAGCCCTTCGATCCCGCCGACATTTCACGCGAACGTGATGCCGTTTGTCATGGGCGACGACGCGTCGAGTTTGCCGCCGTCGTGCGTGCGGAACCACGAATAATGTTTATGCAGTGCCTTCAAATCAATCGAAACGATGAGATCGGAGAGATCCTCGAGTGTGTCGTGGAGACTGGTTTTACGACATTGAAAAAAGGGCGTCACCCAGCGCCGCCCGGGGCTACACATCGAGGCAGCGACACCAGAGTCGTTGCGCATACGACTTCCACTCCAGACCCCCCGTGTGGGGAGGTGGCGTATTTGCCGCAAATTGCGTCAACGGCTGTCTCTATATGGCCTCCACGACCGCCAACCCCGTGTGGGGTGTACGACAAGTCAATCACGCGGCGTCAAGAGCCCATGGGGACGTCGAGCACGTCAGCCCGCTGCTCCGTCGCCTCGGCCATCGATACGTCCTTCTTCGAGCAAACGAGCTTTTCTAGATCGCACGCCCCGTGAGTCGTAGCCGCTGTCAACTCTGACGTATCGGCAATACTTCTGCTTGAGTTACGTCTCCCACTGGAATGCCAATTACTCAAACTCCAACTCCCTGGGCATTCATTCTGGAGATATCGTAGTCCATGGCGTCCAAGAACACAAAGATGAAATAGCTCGAATGCAGGCTTGGTCGTCGCCAACCTCGGTACAGGGCAGCCATGCCCACAGGTCTCCTCTCCAATTCACCCGGTCCTGTCCAACCTGCATTTGTTTCACGATAAGCGTAGCGTAAAAAATGGCTTTTATGTAAAAGACATGCTCAGATTTACATGACGAACAGATCACCAAGCATCGCGTGCTCCGTTGGCCCTGCAGGAGACACTATTGCCTTCCAAATTGCCCACAAGGCGCCTGTCCGACGAACTGTTCGGCTCCCCTGAT